TAATAATAATAATGGAAATGTTGAGATTACCACTAGCAACAGTATATATGCTCATAAGCCGTAACAACGCAGCTACTAATTAATATTGTAGTCATCACAAGCATCCGTCAAAGTTAATATGCGATATAATGTTACGAATTAAGAAATAAGTTATGATTAATTAAGCATATTAATCATACTAGAGATGCAGAGAAACTGGCCATGATGCTAAGGAAACGTGTTGTTAGTTACCGACGCTATTAGGTCTTCGTTGCCATTCCTGATTCCATATGTTGCATCTCGGGTCTTACCGCTACCCACGCCGGCTGGTTTAATGGTCTCGTTGTTGTTACAATCTACATCATTGCGATTAGTATTTGAAAGGCCAGCGATTATGCGTTTGTTGCTTTGTGATATGAGACTCCAATGCAAGAACTACATGATGCGATAAGAAAAATATGCAGGTGGTTAGAACAATAACGTCTCCTTAAATGCGCAATTAGATTTAATTACGGTGTAATATTATAAGTGTACCTACCGTATATTTACCGTGTGGACGTATCTTGAAAACGTTATGTATATATAACGTTATGTATTGTTATGTGTATGTTATGTGTGTATGTTTTGTTATGTTGTTGTGTTATGTATTGTTTTGTTATGTGTTTGTTGTTGTTTGTTATGTATGTTATGTATGTTATGTATGTTGTTGTGTTGTGTTGTTTGTTTGTTATGTTTGTTTGTGTTGTTGTGTTGTTTGTTTGTTATGTTGTTGTTATGTTTGTTTGTTTGTTATGTTATGTTGTGTTGTTGTGTTGTGTTGTTGTTGTGTTATGTATGTGTTGTGTATGTGTTGTATTTGTTGTGTTGTTGTTATGTTATGTTTTGTTGTTTTGTTTGTTATATAGTGACTACTTGCACATTATGGGACGTTTCCAAAACACGCCCACCTAATAAATGACAGTCACTTGCCGCCATGTTGAACCCAAATTGGTAGGGAATTTTAATGTCTTGAAATTACCAAAAACTATTTGTAATTTTATGTAGACAAATTTTTTACAACAAAGCGTATGCGATTATTAGGAGACGTTAAAGCACGAAGCAGTACAAATGATCACAACGATATGGATGAATATGAATATGATAACGATATGGTAACGATGACTGCGGCTAATCTATTATGAATTAGCGTGTTAAAGATTACGGTTATGAAACGTAGCGAAAACGCTTCCGACTGAGCCACAGAAGTCAGAAAGCTACTATACAGGAAGGAGTTCGGGTTTACGATATGGTTACTCAACGGTAAACTAATATACTAAACTATGGATACTCAATAATAACATCAAAGCATGTATTTAACGTGCGAATCTTTATATTTTGGCAAGGTAGCTGTATATCCATCCCTGGTTGTGTATTGAATGGAGCGCTTTAGGGTCGTGTAGGAGTCGCTGTAACATAGGTTTAAGAGGCGTAACCATCCTGGCCCCCTCCGGCTAATAGCCTATATACATTAACGATGCTGTCTGTCATTCGTACGTACTCTCTCCCCTGGTCGCACTGTATCTCTCTTTGCCCCCTCCCTTGCTCTTTCTTTCTTTATGTCTCTCTCTTTATCTATCTTTATCTCTCTCTCTCCCTTTCTCTCTCTCTCTCTCTCTCTCTCTCTCTCTCTGTATGTCTGTCTCGGTCGCTCCTCATTCATTCACTCCGTTATGACTTAGCATTGGCATTACCATATATTATACTTACGGAACCGCCAAACATTTTTTTGACGGAATCAATCTCAAGGATAATCTGTTGGAACCACAACTCGTAAACTGAAAACAAAAACCAGCAATGCATGAATAAACAGATGTGCTCCTAATAAACAAATAAATAAATAAATAAATAAATAAATAAATAAATAAATAAATTACGTACGCGGGCGCGCGTGCGTAAGTGTCCGTCTGTGAGAGGCTCAGATTGTGTTAGATACCGTATGCTATCAACTGCCATATAAGCGAGCTACCTACATAAGTAGTAATAATACATTGCGCTTCATAGAGTGTGCCAATTGGTAAATTTGGTAATGTCTACACGACCGTGGTGTGTGCGTTGAGACTGATTGATTGGACAGTCGAATGGGTTTAAAGATAATATTATATAAACGGAACAGAGTCTAACACACGCCCGCACCCGCACGCACGCGCGCACTCGCGCACACAAAGAGAGAAAAAAAATATCTGCACGCATTCGCATACGTTTTCACGCACACACGTACGCACGCACGAATTCAGAATGCCTAACATTTACTTGTTGTGCATTCGGAATTTTTATTTTGGAATAATCTCGTCATCATTAAGAGCTATACACGTATATGCCTAAGGGTGAACTTATATTCACCTTTCTAGCTCCTCTCCGTGTCCTTACACAAAGATACATATGGACTCGTGCGTGCTAGTTGCAGGCAATAATTCCAATAATACTTGAGTCGGTTACCTTGAAACGATTCATATGCCATGCGCTCATAGGTTTTAGTTTTGTAAATAGCTCCTTGGTAGAACTGGATAGATGCGGCTTTGGTATATCTTCCCCCCCCTCTCTTCCCCCATGCTCATTTCACGTCGCAGGAATTTAGTACTCGTGATCATAATCGATTACATACATGTCAGTTTGGTTGACTACAGCCTCGAGCGGAAGTAAACCTTAGTCACATAACCCCATTTCCAACCGCCTTGTTTTGTAACTCCACTACTGCTATATTGGTATGGTTCACTCTCTCTTTTTCTCTCTCTCTCTCTCTCTCTCTCTCTCTCTCCCTCTCTTTCTCTCTCTCTCTCTCTTTCTCTCTCTCTCTATTTC